CTCTCGAGTCCGAAGAGGGAAAAACGCTCTTGGATGCCACTTACTCGACAGTCCTGAAGAACACTATCCCCGATTCTACGAAAGCTCGTCAACGATATCGCTCAGTGATGGGTCAAGTTGTAATGACACTTGAACCTCTATCTATGGGGGCGTTGAATCACATCCGCAAACAGTTCCCAAACGAACAGGATCGCTATGATGTTGTCATCCTCGAGTTCATGTCCCCGGTGCTTGGGGGCATTACAGATCGCTCCTCTCCTGTCCGACCCCTCCATGCATCCTTTTACGACTTCCTAACTGACCATTCACGGAGTGGGGCCTACTTCATTGACACCTCTTGCCCATATACCCTAGCTGTTGCCACCTTGCGAATCCTGCGTGATGACCTTCGGTTCAACATTTGTGGACTGGAAGGTTCCTACTTGAGCAATGCAGAGGTCGCAGATTTACCAGGGAGAATTAGCGAGAACATTCCACCTTATCTATCCTACTCTTGTCAATTCTGGTCCCAACATCTGCAGAGGACTAGGTTTGACTCGGTGCTTACACAGTTGGTAAAGGACCTTGTGGGAAGTGAAAAGCTTCTGTTTTGGCTTGAGGCTATGAGCCTGCTGGGTGGAGTTAGAAATACTACTGCAGCGCTTATCTCTACCAGAAGATGGCTCTTGCTGAGTTTGTCATAGTTCTTTGTATTTCATGTTGTCTGACTTGAGATGGAAGAACCAAGATGACATTGAGAATACTGTATGTCTGGTAGAAGATGGAATCAGGTTTATTCAAAGCTCCAGTGGTGCAATTGCCCACAGTGCACCACATCTGTATGTCTCTGCACTGGCCTTCATTCCTAGGAAGACAACACTGTCAATGATGCTCATGACCAATTTTTCTTCCCTTCCTGGAGTTGTAGGAGGTCCAGAACACTGGTTGGCCACTCAACTGCTTGGCTTGGAGGGGCATACAGATGGAGTCTGGTCAGTTGCATTCTTCCCTGATGGCAAGAGGATTATGTCAGACTCACAGGACAAGACTGTGAGGGTCTGGGATGCTGAAAGAGGTGTGGAGATTGGGAGCTGCCTTGAGGGGCATACAGGTGCAGTCTTTTCAGTTGCATTCTCCCCTGATGGCAAGAGGGTTGTGTCAGGCTCTTGGGACAAGACTGTGAGGGTCTGGGATGCTGAAAGAGGTGTGGAGATTGGCAGCCACCTTGAGGGGCATACTGATGCAGTTGATTCAGTTTCATTCCCTCCTGATGGCAGGAGTATTGTTTCAGGCTCATTGGATCAGCAGTTGATGTTTCCCATGTCCAATTTGAGTGATGAACCTCAAGTTCTATCTGACAAACCAGATGGTGAGCATAACAAACTTGTGATGTACTTGGCTTTACAAAAGCAATTACAGTTAACAGGTCATGTCACATTTGTTTTTCACCTGTCCCTTCATGTGCACTTGGTGACAGTGAACAACTTATTGATGGGCTCCTCCAGGGAGATGGCCTTACATGGGTTGAACCAGTTAAGCTTCACCATGATGGTTGGATCAAAGGCCCCTAGGGTGAATTACTGCTTTGGATACCTGTAGGATTGAGGTCTCCATGGTACACAATGAGGACCAAAGTGGTCATACCCAGAGGTTGTTGCATAGAGTTGAACTTGAGCCAATGGTTCATGGGTATCAGTGGCATAAATTTACAGGCCAATTGCAAAGGTGGCCATTTAACTGTAGTCTGCATGGCAGCATTCCATCATACACACCTGTCCTGTACTAGGTTGCACTCTACTTTTTGTCTGTTTCCACTTGCTGCTGTTTACATTTCTCACCAATGCATCCAATACACACCACATCTCTATATGCAACTACTCGAGGGAACAAGTGACATTGATGCAGCTTGGAGTCTCCAGTGAAGCCGTATGCCACAGTTGCTGCACAAATCACGTTGCACCACAACTCAGCTCAGATGTTTACTTTCTGGGAAGGGATTGCATAGTTGAGGCATAATGAAATTTATTACAGGCAAACATTACACGCGGTCTAGCAAATGAACAACCCGTCTTCCCTTTACAGTGGGTTTTCGCGGAGTCGGTGTGCGGTGACTACAGTTTGGCATTCTTCGGCATCGCTCTTATTGCCTGTCGCACACCAAGATCGGCCAAGACGTCTTCGGCTACGAAGCACTATTTGTAAATCATAAATAGTATGATGCAGCGAGATTCCTTACCTCCTCCGAGAAGGGAATCAAACGTGACAGTCCGGTAGTACTGTGCGGTTGTCAACACTACATTAGGAGGAATTCAGGCAGGGACCACCTACACGCTCGACAAATTTGCCCATGCCTGTTTTGGTGATACCACGGCCACCAAACACTTGAACGGCATCTCGAGCGGTATCTTGTGCACACCGCGTGCTGTGGCTCTTCAAAAATGCTATCGGACTATCTCATATGTCAATGCATTACTAGGGACAAACAGTCAGAGATACAACTTACCCGGCCAACTTCTGAGATTGTTGTTTGTATGTCTGACCAATTGTCGATCAATATCAAGCAATCATGGCACACGAAGTGATGAGTCGACGACTGACCATATGCGTCATTTGATACGTGATGCTCTCTAGCCAGCTCTGCATGCTCTCGGTCCGTGCGATCATCGCTGCAATCTTAGCGCGGATGACCGGCTGTGAGATGAGTGGCTTTCCAAATGCCTTCCGTTGCGTCGCCCACCTGTACAACTAGTTCAACATGGTGCTAGGTATGCCGAGTCTGATATATACACACTTCAGACATTCTTCAATCATCATGCGCTGAGCACTTGTTGAGCTGCAGCAAACGGACCAACGCTCGTGGTTGAAGTTGCTGGAATCGAGAAGTCCCGTCAATTGCGCATTACTTGTAATATTTCAATGCAATTTCACCTAAGGATAACGAAGCTACCACCACCAACTTCTCCTAGGGTGTTGCTAGTCGGCACCCGGACGTTGTCAAACGTGATGTATGCCGTTCCCGCGGAAGTGGAGTAACTTGTCTTGATTTGGCGCGTCTCGATGCCAGGTCCACGCTCGACCAATATGACGGTAAGCCCATCCTTAAAAAAAGCAGGTCAAAGACAGCCACGCAATAAACGAACAGCACACACATCGGTTCTGCATGCCACCGTGAAGCTAACAAATGATCAAGCAGCGCTCAAAGCAGCCTACGAATTTACTCACTAATCAGCGAACCTGGCAACAGAGACTTACGTGAGCTGCGCAGCACCAAAAGGGCGGAAATCGGCACTAACGTGCCATTGGTAATCCACTTCTTTGTTCCGTTGATGATCCACTCCTTGCCATCTTCACTTAAGACAGCTGTCGTCTGAAGTCCCATGACGTCGCTCCCGGCCACTGCCTCGGAAACGGCGAGGCAGATGAACTTCTTCCCAGCCAGGATATCTGGTACGATGCGAGCCTGAAGCTCTGGAGAGCCGAAGTTGAGTACGGGGGGCAGACCGATGACATTCCCGCTGAGCATGCCTGAAAATAGAGCAGTTAGTTCAGAACGAGCACCATAACCGGCGACTCACCATCACCGTAACCTCGTGCACTGCATCTCACAAGCTCCTGTGTGATGATCAACTGTAACGTAGCCAATGAGTATAAATGGATAATGTCTTATGTCACAGCTATTGATCCTGACCCCATGGAAATAATCAAACTATGTCCAAATTCAATCACGTCAGAGCTCAAAATGCGAACAGAGATGTACAACCAACCTCTTCTGGCTTGACGATACCACCCATCAATACACGGCCCTTGAGGTGTTTTCCAGGACCAAGTCGCATTGCATGCAAGTTCATGTCTCTGACAACAAACCGTTATCCGACATCGGTTTCGGACCAGAGTCGACTTACGCCATTTTGTCAAAGACAACCTGACTTGGTCGCTTGCCGTCTTCCTCCCGGAGCTTTCAGTAGTATACGTAAGAGCGTAGAGCAGATTGAAACCGAAACTTCATACCTGAGCATCGGGATACACGACTTCATCTACGAACAGCCTGACAGCCTTTTGGAACTGTCGATGATTCTGGAGGGTTGGGATTAACGGCGATAATCTAGTCCAGCTAAGCTCCACACGTACATCTGAGTAGTACGGACTGTGATATCCTGGAGAAAGCCAAGTGGGTTCGGCATAAGGTACTTGACTCAGTTCACCAATCTTGCGACCGAATATGACACTCTTCTGCGCTTTGATTGTGCCGATCTGGAGGCGTTTGTACTGCGGACGCTCCAACACCTCATGTCGGTGAAGCCCATAGAAAGCGTCTGTGGCAACCTTCCCGGCTGATGGCGAGCATGAATATGGTACCAGTGGCATGCTATGTCCTAGCCGACAACTCACCGACTCCTTTATCAATCAGCACAGCTATACCGCCAGGGTGGAGGTCCTTGAACTGCGTCAGGTCGTACACCTTCGAGTCGATGACGACCCACTACTCAATTGTCAGATATTTTCTCGCAAAGTCACCGCAGTAATAAAACCACGTACCAGATCGCCGGGTTTATTATGCTATAGAGGTTGAGAACGATGACCTCATACTAGTACGACGGGGACACTCACCTGCGCAACCTCTTCGAGGGTAAACTCCTTGAGCTCTCTTGCAGCCATAGTTTCAGCTACAGAACTTGAATAAAATTCGTTGGTAAGATGTGATTTGGCGCTTGATGCATCGTTGCGAGGACGCTATTTAAACAACTGCAGGCGTCCTCGTAAGACACCTTCGCCGGCGTCATAAGCCTGTGTCGTCACGTGACCTCGCCCACGTCCTTAGATCGCGGAGTTGCCTTATTCGGATTGACTGTGTTACATAATTTGCTGGTTACATTTTTGCTAGTGAAAAAGTGTAGTCCAACGGAAGAGGAACGGCACCTCCTGCGGGTCGCGCGCGAAATCGGCATACTCATTAACGGAAAACCGCTCCTTCACATTCTCCGACTGGCTGCTGCAATGTCAGTGGTTTCCTCAAAGTCGGCAAGAACGATGCGGCGCCAATCTCCCGCTTACCATCAGATGTCCTTGATATCATTTTTGACGAGCGTCGTCGTGTGCTTCTCCGGTGGACAGGTTTCCGCAGTCCTCTTCCCATCGAGGTGCAACTATCGCACGTATGTCGAAGATGGCGTCAAGTGGCTTTGAACACTCCCTCTCTATGGAACACTCTACGGATCCTGATCCTTCACAGGGAAAGCGCTATCAGAACCTACTTACATCGCCGCTGTCCTTTCAGCGTCCATTTGGGACCCCAAATATCAGATGGCAGCATTATGGATGTCATCACTTCCGAGTTAATGCCACGCATTGACCGGTTCCGCGAGTTAATCTTGGACGCCAAGGACCGTCAAGAACTTCGCGCGTTGCTTTCTCACCTCGTAACCACGGTCGCTCCCTCTCTTCAGCAGCCAAAGATAACCAGTAATGGCCTTGTGCATGGTCAGGGGATCTTATCCCTCCATAGAAATATTCAAACGAGGCGTTCCACTGCTTTCGGATGCACGCCTCAGTGCTCTTCCCATCACCTTACCTCCGGCTGCGGTTTCAACACTCCACTTTGGACCGTTTCCTGGACCTGGAATACCCCTTTCTCGGAGTCATTCGCTCAACATAATTACCCCTGTCGCTTCCTCGCTCACCGTGGTCTATTTGAAGGGATTCCTAAGTGGCTTCCAGAAGAACCCGGAATGCGTTCTTCCTGTTCATATGGTGCCTTGACTTCGACCCTAGTGAACTAGTTGGAGAGGTGGCATGAATGGGAATGGATGAATACTTCAAAGATTTACCAGCGTGATTCCCATCGCAGTTGCATCACACATTTAGCAAAGCTCTGCGCCATTCTTTAGGGAGACCTGAGTTAGCATCCTGTGCGACATGAGCGATGAGATCAAGCATTGCATTGACATGTTGATTGAGTACTGCGTCGAGTGCAATTTCTACGAACTTGAATTCGCCTAGTGTGCGAAAGAGGGACCAGGGTGTTTCATCGACCTGTGATGTAGACTACTTAATACGAGCATGGAACTCTTCGTAAGACTGACAGAATGGTGGTTGATCGCTTCTCGGATGAAACCTGGTCTTGAATTCAGGAACTTCCGCCACACTATATAGAGCGAGTAGGAAGCGTCTGCACATCTCAAGGAATTGCTAGCAGTTCATAAATGCATCGAGGCGAAGACATACCTGGAGATTGGGGCATGTCGCTGTCAATGAGTTCATTGTAATTCGGCTTCATAGCCATCTCGACTCCAACCAGACGCAGTTTAGTTTGTCTTACAACATAATTACAAGTTGGACTGATCAGATTCATCAACGTCAAACATTCCTGTTGCCATGCGGCGAGTTTCGGGCTCTCGGCCCTGCGAGTTGAGTTCTGGTACTCCCAATGCAGACCAACATACATACCTCTTCGTTTCTCTTCGTACTGACGTCTGAAAGTTCTTTGAGCTTCCTACGACTTGCTTCGTGCTGCTTAAAACCAGTTGTCTGAAATTTCCTGTAACAGTGTGGGCACCAATGGAGAACCTTGTTGTCCCGTTGAGCATTTTGACGGGGGTGGGTGTTGTGGGAGCGTGCCAGGAGAGGACCTTGCAGGGTGTCTTACCTTCTGGTCACACGGCTGAGACTCATCTCAATATTAATACTGCGCTGCAGCTGGAAGAGGAGTGTACTTGTCTGTTGCAGTCTCAGCCAGCCTCTCAGAACACAGTCCCGTTACTATCGGCATCTTCTCAGAGACCCTACAATGGCATTCTGTCACGTATTCTCAATATCAGACGATGCAGCCCTCTATCAGCTTCTGCCTTCGCACGGCAAATACCTTCCACTTTCAACCCAGATCTCAATACTACGCTATGGGGTACGGCTTCCTCGACCTTTGGGTCTTCACCCGTCCAAACTTAATCACCTCCCACATTCTCTCGAGACAGCCCTACCACTGATCAATTCCCTTATCGACCTCAGTATCCTGCCGATTTCAACTCATCTAACCTTCCTCAGTCCAACGCACCCACGCATCCTCCAGCCACCGTGAACGAATCAACCTGGGCCTATGCAGTTCTCACTTTCGCAGCCACTTCCGCACCGTCAATCCGACTTGCGGGCTCGTTTGTACGGGGCCAAAGGTACAGCTCAGCCACGCAAACGACCAATACCAGCAGATGACGGTGCCGATTCCTCTAACGAACATGAAAACGCTACCAAACAAAAACCGTACGTGTTTTTGGTAATCGACGCATCACATATCTCACAGACGTCGGAGGCATTAGGGATAGTGCATACAGTCGCGGCAGGGGCTTGAAGGCAACTTGCAAGCAAGCCTGGAGCTCTCGGCATCTACAATTCCTCTCTTAGCTTCGATGTGGATCTGTTGGAGATACGACGTGAATTGCAAGCGTTGCGCGCAAGCCAATATGGAATGTGTCATACCGGACCGAAAACCTCGTCGCCGTCCTCCGGGCGTGTAACAGTTTCCCAATCGTGTCGAGGTTGATGACGACGGTTGTATAGTAAACGAGAGGTATTACTGAAGCAAATTCGCGAACAAGCTTCCCAAATTGTAGAACTTATGGCAAAACTGGAGCGATCAAATCAATCCGCAGGCACTTCTCAAGCCGTGGTCAGCCCTTCAGAGTCACAATCACCTCCTTCTACGGCAATAGACACCAATGCGGTGGACGTCGTACCGAAACAAGAAGTACAGGACTGGATTTCAAAGGCTAGAGAATCATTGCGGACTTTTGGTGGGCTGATACCTGCTCCTAGCCCTACTATTATACATCGAGGAAATGGCCACGCTTCCACCGATGGCGAAGATGACGAAGATTTTCCAAACGATTCCGAATATGACACCGCGGAAGACGATTGGCCTAAAGATGGGGGGTCACCCGCACACTCCACCAAAAAGAAGGATGCATCTGCTCCACAACTCATCCCTAATGATGAAGCTCCTTACGGCCTTATGGCTTGTATGTCGATCAAGGCAGGTGCTAGACGGAGGAACGCGGAACCCGAGTCTTCCGATGCAGTGGGAGTTACGAATGCAGATTTCTTCAGGCCTAGTCCGTTTTTCCTGTTCTCACGCCGATGTTATGAGTTGACAATAACACCATAGGCCCTGACCCAGACCTATATGTACAAGTGAACTTTCCCATAACGTGCACCTTTCTCATATCCCGGCCTGCAGTATTATTACAGTGCACATGCGGACGCATTTTTCGATACGTGAGTTCCATTGCGAGCATGACTATATCCTCGCTTAACGTCATTCCAGATACTTTCAGAAGATGAACCCATCCGTATCATTACTAGACCGTTACCTTCATACCCCTCAGTATGTCACCATGCGCAGTCCCTTCCTCTTCACCGTCGGTAGGGGACCTCAATGATTGCCTAGTTGCGGAAGTGACTGACAGTAATGTAGTGTGTGCGACTGCGTCACGAAGAGACCAGAGCTTTATGGACAATTGATGCAGTATGCTCAACTTGCAGCTGGCACGGCACTCATATCAGGCCCGAAAAATGAGGAGATCTGTTCTGCGTACCTGCTCGTGCAGTTATATCCGGTGCCTCCGAAACATTGGGAAGAAGATCGGGGATGGATATATCTTGGCGTTGCCATCTGGTAGGTTTGCTTACAGGTCTACGGTTTGCAACAAACTAAACATCCGAAGTAGGATCGCGCAAGACATCAATCTCAACTGCCCCATGACTGCGAAGCCCCTCAACCAGCATCACACACGTCGTCTCCTCAGCCGTACACAAATCTGGTTGAATTGTTTCAACTTGGATCGGTCCACGGGTACCCAGTATGGCAAGCGGGCGATCATCCCAAATTCGGACTACGTCGCTCGACACTGTGATATGTGGTGGCAATTGTCGCCCTATGATCTCAGTGGATTTGATATCCAAACATGCATATATAACATGGAGCTGAGGTTAATGGCGGTTTTCATGGCGAAGATATATAGCGACCGGGTTCTTCAACACCCTCCTCTCTGAAGGTGGGAATAGGTCGAATTCTTCGAGATTCCCACCTACAGAGTACTACCAAATAACACTTCAGGTACTATAAGCGTGCCAAAGGATGTGAAGACTTCACTGCACGCTACATTATTCACAGAAGGTGTGTTCATGTTATTCGCTGCAATCGAAACGAATCGCTCTCTGGTCGACCTCTCCGCCCGAGCCCGAGCTGATGGCATCCATCAAATCGCATCCGGCATCATCCCCATGTCAAAACTTATTGACATCAGCTCCTTCGGAACCCAGTTCTATGTTTACACCTTCAGCACTAAGACTCGAGCGGTTGAGCCGCACCTCATTTCGGCGGATGCCCCAACTGTTGCGCTGCAGGACAGACGGGGCTTTTGATATCTTGATTTACGGAGGAGACGTGAAGCTGAAGGAGGTGGTTGCAGCTGTGAAGGCCATGGGGGCAAATTTGTAGGTCTTATACGAATAAGAGTCAGACAACTGGGAATCGCGTAGAAGTTCATGATGCCTTGGATTACCGAATATGCTCCCCCTCCCCGTCACAGCGCCAACCTCAATCACAATCATTGGCGACCACCAGCAAATGGTTTGCAGTTCCAAACATATCAGCCAGGTTCCCAGGCGGGACAAGGACACCAAGGGAGGTCCAGAAGGACATCGTTCGCCACTGGATCGAGGGTGATCCACATCTCGGATAGAATTTTAAGAGACTAGTCCCCAATCTGATCTCCGTGGGTGCAACCGGCCGCTAAAAGTCAACCATTATACGCGAGGTGTCATTCCCAGACCAGCAAGTGGGCTTGTGCGTATTCCCCGATAGGCTGCCGGGTATTTGATCTCTCTCCCAGTAATATGGCATGCCAGTTACGAAGGGGACGAGGTGTCCTCCGTCTCGGCTCACCACCATGCCATCCGCCGCGCTGACACCCAGCTTTTCCATGTGATACAGGCGGTCCGTGAAGGCCATAGTGCAGTAGCGTGGCCCTTGCTGTCCTTGACGTCAGCAGAAACCGGAATCGGAACAAGACGCAGAGGCGGCCGTTTGACCTGTAGCGCCGCCGTTAATGGCGGTATGCTCGCGAGTCGTGAGTATCGACGCTGCCACCTGACTGGCCTCCCCACTTGTGGCGAGATCTGTGGGCCCATTGACTCGATCCCCATACCAGTTGTCTAGCACCAGCATATCTGCAGTTGATCCTTTCCTATTTACGTCTGTCACCAACACATCCATCGCAATATTACATAATATTCACATCACTTG